CTCACCGCCCCCGCAGGCTCAGGTGAGACAGGGCAGCGCTCAGGGGCGGGGGGGTGGGGACCGCTCGGGCTGGCCGGGACAGCATCGCCTGCTCTCACACAGCCACAAGCAACCGCCTTCGTGAACCTGCCCCCGGGGATCGTCCCGGCGCCCGGAGCTGCCTGTGCAGAGTGTAGCCGAGGTCACGGGCGGAGCTTGTTGGAAGAAGCCGAAGCAGCTAGTCCGTGCCCCTAAGTGCAGCAGGCTCGGCCAGGGGGAAGAGGGAGCAGCCGCCCTGGTAGAAGGGCGGGGGCCTGCGAGGCCCTCTTCAGAAATCAGCAGGGAAGCGGAGGGACGCCAGGGAAGGGAAAAATCTCTGAAGTGACCCCAGAGCAAGGCTGATGCTAATTAGCATCAACTGTGTCTATGACCAGAGAACCCACCAGGTACCCAGAGGACACTGGCACCTTGAAAAGCACTTTGGGGGCATCAAGTCATTGACAGATTGTTCTATTAGAAAGTAGGGGTTTTTTAAATATCAGCACCTCTTACTTACTAAGCCAAACTATACGTCAGATGGTTTTTAATCCATTTTTAGAAGCATTAATGTTCTAGTCTTTCCATTACACTCATTTCTGGGTCTTGATACTGTTCTGAGCTCTGTGCTGACAAACATTTACTTCCCCTTCCCTGCTGCCGGCCCCTCCTCCCCGGTGCAGCTCACTGGGAAGTAGGGATTTCAGGACCTTCTTAACTGATTTTGCTACACTGTTGGTGCCTTCATCAGAAGTCAGTCAGATCCCATGCAGTAAAATGGAAATAAGTGTGTTTGGAGCATGTAAAAATCTAATAATACTAGGAGACTGAGACTTATGGTGAGTATAAGCTATGGGATGTAGGTTTTGATTGACTCATAAACAGAATAAAATTTATAACATTTCAGCTTTTTGTTTTTCATGTCACCATGAGCTGAAAATGAGAGAGGATTCTCAGTCTTAGTGTTATCACCCTCAAGATCACAGCATTGTGTTAAACGTTGTAACCTTTTGCTTTGATACCTGTGATTGCTTCGGCTTCAGTCCAAACTTAGATAACTTGTTTAATAATTTTGTGTTAAAAAAAAAATTAACGAAAAGTCAAATGTTGAATCAGTGGCGTGTGGCCTTAGGCACTTGCCCAATGGTCTGTAACGGTTTCTTCAGTGTTCAAAATGCATTTGGTCACTTTTAAGGAAGGTTACAATCAGCTGTTTATCTAAGTAGACTGATTGTGCCTTGAGGGTGTTTTGGAGGACTGTAAGAGCCCTCCCCCCCCAGACAGAGGGTTGCTCACATTCTGAAGACTTTAATTGTTGGGGTTGCATTTATCATTCAATGATTAATTAATTTCTCCTGTCCAGGAGTTTTGAAACAACCCTGCTTTGCTTTTAGCACTTTGTTTCTAGGCTTGTGGGTAAGAATCACTTATTTCATAGCCCCTTTGCTCAGAGTTTCTTTTTTTTTTATTAGCAAGCGATGAATCTAATCGAGAACCAGAAGTTGCTCCCAGAGACCATGTTGGCTCTGGTGGCTCTCTCCAGTCTCGTGAAGAGAAGCAGGAACCAGTGGTGGTTCGGCCGTACCCACAGGTTCAGATGTTGACTCCACACCATACCGTGCAGCCTGGTGCTCCAGTTACAGTGACAGCTCCTCCAGCACATCTGACTCCAGCAGTGTCCCTTTCCTTTTCGGAAGGACTTATGAAGGTATTGAGGAGGCTCACACTTAAGAGGGGGGAAGTTGAAGGAATGACAGGAGAGTAAATTCTTTCTTAGCAATCTCATCAACACAAAGTTAACTTCAGTTTAGTTTTTTGTTTTTTGTCCACTAGAAAGTTCTTCTGAATGGTATTGTCTGTGTGATTCTTCTGTGCTTTCTTCCTGACTATATGCCTCCTTGGGGGGTGCTGGGGTCTGCTCCAGGTAGAAGACTGGTGAAAATCTCTGAGCATTAATTTGTTGCTTTTCCATGTATTTTGTTTCCTAAGTTAAGGACGATCTAAATCAGTTTATGAATCCCCTTTTGTTCCTGGATGGGGCAGGGAGGGGGAGTAAAAATGATGCACTATAACATTTTGAAATCAAGACAGTAAAATGAAGATATATATGGAGCAGACCAGGTGGTTCTTTCTTCTTGACCGAACCCTCCCTACAAAGGAGATCTATGTGAGGAAAGGCTTTGACTTGAGAGATCACAGGCAGTCTTCTCTTTGCTTTATATTGATCTGAGCAGGAGAGAAGAAATTGTGTAGAAACACCAAAGGGTAAGGTGGGATGGTAAATAAGTTACTATATTTTCTTGCTTACAGTATGGCTTGAACTAAAATGAAATCTTTGTTTTTGAAAGACGGTATGAAGAAATAAAGATTGCAACAAGTAGCAGCAGCAGCTAGAGAGCTGAGCCAGCTCCCTTTTCTGCTCGCTATGGATTGGGTGCAGACTTTACTTTCATTTCTGCCCAGTCGAAGCTTAAGTAGCAGAAACTATTTACCATATTTCCTTGGATGTAGTGTGCACTAAGATTTCCAGCAGCTGATTTTTGTGGGGGAAAGTTGCATGTTGTATATGAGAAAAATAAAGCTTTAAAGAAACCAAATGAGCCAAGAAGTTGATTTTGTGTTCTCTGGCAATTTGATCAGTGATTTATAAAGTTGTGGTAGTAACCAGGGTTCTACTGTACAAGAGGGCTATCTACATAAGGAGACACAGCAAGGTTCTTGCAGCCCCTCTCATAAAAAATGGAATGGTCTTTAATAGCCCCTTCTTACTTCACCTTTCCCCAGCTCAAACTGTCTTCCTTTCTACATTGTGATTTGGGGGGATTTCTGCTTCCTTGTATTGAACTGCCACTTGTCATTTAAAGCAAAAAAGCATGAGTTACAGTAACTTGCAAATTTTTCTTTCAGCCTCCTCTGAAGCCCACCATGCCCAGCCGGCCTATTGCTCCTGCTCCACCCTCTACACTGTCAGCTCCTACTAAGGTCCCCGGGCAGGTTACTGTAACTATGGAAAGCAGCATCCCACAGGCCTCAGCTATTCCTGTGGCAACAATCAGTGGACAGCAGGTTTCTTTCTTCTTTCCTTCCCCCCACCCCTTTTTTCCATTCAGCAAAGTAAGATGCTTGTGGATAATGTACTGCATCTGCTGTCAGAAAATCAACACAGGAATCTTGGGAGTGAGAGGAACTCTTTTGTAATCACTTCCAGAATCATTGGAGAAAGTTTGGCAATGGGGCAGATGGTCCTGCCAGTGCATTAGAAACATGTAGAGAGGTGAGGAAAGGGGAACAGGGCCTCAGTCTACCAAAACCCTGAGCAGATGACTCTTGCAGTTGCATTGCTCCATCTAGTTAACAGGTTCAGACTTACCAGAACAAAGCATGGTCCTTTTTGCAAAGTTTATGCTATCATTTACTCTGTAAAAAGCTGCTGATTTTAACCAGATAGTTTGAAAGAGCCAATAAGATTGTAGTACACTGACCTGCTGGGAGCCTGAGCTACAAAAGTTCTATTCTAGAGCTACGTCTACTGAACTTTTGTCTTAAAAACTACCAATATCACTGCTTCACCTGTGGAGGTTCTAGAACAAATTGACTGCAGGCTGTTTATTGCTGTATTATCAGAACAAGTCTAGACAACATGTTGCTGACAACAAGTCTGTCCTTATGCTTTTGTCATTGTTGGCCTATGCTAGACCAACAGTGGGAGAATTTCTGTAAGCCCTTGGTATAGACATGATTGGGGTGTGAATGCTTGAGTTTTTGTCATGGTGTAAAGACCGAAGCCTAATCTTTTTTCACCCGAGTTTTCCTAAAACTACAGTTCTAGGCAATTAAATAGCAATAGATTGACATGACTTATTTTTTTCAGAAATAGATTCATAGATTCATAGATGTTAGGGTCAGAAGGGACCTCAATAGATCATTGAGTCCGACCCCCTGCATGGGCAGGACAGAGTGCTGGGTCTAGATGACCCCAGCCAGATGCTTATCTAACCTCCTCTTGAAGATCCCCAGGGTAGGGGAAAGCACCACCTCCCTTGGGAGCCCGTTCCAGACCTTGGCCACTCTAACTGTGAAGAAGTTCTTCCTAAAGTCTAGTCTAAATCTACTCTCTGCTAGCTTATGGCCATTATTTCTTGTAAACCCTAGGGGCACCTTGGTGAATAAAACCTCACCAATTCCCTTCTGTGCCCCCGTGATGAACTTATAGGCAGCCACAAGGTCGCCTCTCAACCTTCTCTTGCGGAGGCTGAA